CTGTGACCACCTGTAATCCTTACCAGTCCAGCAGCCTGCACTAGCAATCCTTCGGAAGACGCCCATTCACTCCCTGCTTTCATTTCCATTTCTCTTGCTCCTTTGGTCTCAAACCTTTTTCTCACATTAGGCTTCCTTAACAAAAACACTCAAGTCTAACACAGGTGTGGCTGATTAATCAGAATACTACTTTTGACTAGTCAGATTATGTTTTAAATTGATAGTAAGAATTACTTTAGGAATTATTACTATCATAATATTATATATTATAAAAGAGGGGGTGAAGAGAACAGTTAGAAAACAAAACTCCCACAGCCAAAAAAATATCCAATAAAAGAAAAATTGAGGGAATTCCCCTCCAAAGAACAACAATAACAACAACAACAAAAAAAAACTGACAAGAAAAAGACTCAGTGGCCAGTCCCCGTGGGATATGTCAGGGACACAGAAAAGAATTAATAGTAATAATATTAATAGTAATAATTACTTTAAATAGGAATTATTACTATTATTTTAAAACATAATCTGACTAGTCAAAAGCAGTCAGATTAAGGAGCAGAATACTAGTGTTAAAGTATTAGCACTTGTTATATTTCAGGCACTTAATTAATACAATAACATGCATTATCTCATTCCATTTTCTTCTTCTTTCTTTTTTTTTTTTTTAGACAGAGTCTCACTCTGTTGCCCAGGCTAGAGTGCAGTGGCGCGATCTCGGCTCACCGCAACCTCCAACTCCCAGGTTCAAGCTCCTGCCTCAGCCTCCTGAGTAGCTGGGACTACAGGCGCGTGCCACCATGCCCGGCTAATTTTTGTATTTTTAGTAGACACGGGGTTTCACTATGTTGGCCAGGCTGGTCTCAAACTCCTGACCTCCTGATCTGCCCGCCTTGGCCCCCAAAGTGCTGGGATTACAGGTATGAGCCACCGCGCCCAGCTATCTCATTCCATTATTACACCAGCTCTGAGAGAAACATCATCATTATTATATATGTAAAGGAACAAAAACTTTTAAGTTTGTTTTTTTTTTTTTTAAATCTACCCTATAAAATTGAAGTGCTGAAATTCAAACCTAGATCTGCATCCCCATGAGAGACTGCATTCCTTAGCACGGAGGGCTTCTAAGTCTCCGGCTTTTCTAATTCCAAAGGAGTTTTTCCTTCTGGCTTAATTCTATACCAGAAAACTGAGGATACCAGGAGGTTCCAGAAAACTGAGGTTTCACTTTACTAAGCTATGTAAGCAGGGGAAATGCGTTTTGGGATGGTGACTTTCTACACACTCTACATGACTATACTTTCAGAAGTGAAGGAGATCTGGGCGTCTACACTGCGAGTCAGTCTGGTACTCGAGTCACTCAGACACACATCATGCCTCTAAGGGCAGTGACAGTTCTCTCTGCAGGGCTGTTGGGGCCATGTAACAATAAGGACTTTGATTTTACTAGTGCTACGATTTCCTCAGCTAGGCAAGCAGTGCGGCTCAGAAAAGGACAAACGACATGAAACACCAACAACTTTCCAACACGCACACAGCGTGTCTCTGCCTTTAAGGTGTAGATCACAACATGAAAACTGCAAGTACTTTCTGTATACCCACAACCCTCCTACTCAGCGGCTAGGCCCCCTGGGATGTGTCAGGCACACAGAAAAGGGGACCGCAGTAGACATTCTGGCCTCATAGAACTTATTTGGGGTGGCAGGGGAACAGCAGAAACAAGTAAACCAAGTAATTACAGGTAACAGCAGAGGTCAGGAAGGAACCATACAATCAATTACTTGGGATTACTGAAGGAGCCGTAAGGTAGTCGAAGAAGCCTTCTCTGAGGTGGTGATGCTCTGAGGCGGTGACACTGGCATTAAGATCTGACAATGAACCCACCACAGGAGCCACCGAAGGACACTGGAGGCAAACAGAACGCCTGTGTCAAAGGTGGCGAAGCAGGAAGCAGCTCAGATTGCTGAGGAACAGAAAGGCTAGGGCAGAACCCTGGTTAAGGCAGAGATGGTTGTTCAAGATGAGAACTAGGGAGAAATGAAAACACATTTCAGAACTCGGCAGAAATGCTACAGTCGATGAGAAAGAGTTTGGATTTTTGGCTGGGCACAGTGGCTCACATCTGCAATCCCAACAATTTGGGAGGCAAAGGTGGGAGGATCACCTGAGTCCATGACTTCAGGACCAACCTGGGCAACATAAGGAGACCCCCTCTCTACAAAAAATTAAAAAATCCGCTGGGCATGGAGGCATGCACTTGTGGTCCCAGTTACTGGCGGAGGGGGTGCTGAGGTGGGAAGATAGCTTGAACCTGGGAGGTTGAGGCTATAGTGAGTCCTGATGGTGCCACCGCACTCCAGCCTGGGCATCCAGAGCGAGACCCCCGTCTCAAAACAAAGCAAAACAAGAGTTTGGATTTTACCATAAATACATATTCATTACAACATTGTGAGATAAATTATCCCCACTTTAGCCCCAGTTGAGGAATAAGACTCAGAGGGCATATACAACGTGTTCAAGGTCACAGAGCTGGTAAATGGATGCCCCCAACATGTCCAGAGTGTGCAAGGTGGGAACTGAAATCTTACGTGACTTTATCTAAGTATGTTTGTTCTCAAAACATCAAGACCAATGGCCACCTAAAAGTAACTGCCCCAACTAAGTAAAATTTAATGTTTGTATGGGTGGGTAAAGACCTGAAATCAGTTTAAGTAAACTGTGTTCTCAGTCCTAAAGCCATCACGACTTATTAGCTAAACCAACACGCCAAACAGCATACTTAATTACCCATAAAAACATTAATGACAATTTCACTTCAATATCAAACACGTCTTATGTTATTCCTCTTTTAACAGCTGAAGAATTATTACTATCAATCTATCCATATAAGAAAGTTTCTTTTTATGACATATACTAGTATTAGGAATTTCTCCCTTGTAAAATGAATAATTTTACAAAAGTACTTTGGCACCACAGATGAAAATATAATTTTCAGAATTGGAAGAGGTCAGGGATGAGGCCAGAGAACTATAATAGACAATTCTCACTTCCTACAAAGGATGAAATAAACAGAAAACAGCAAAAGGAGATCTTTTTAGTTTATTTGTTTATCTAACTTTATTAAGCATTAAAATAGAATGTATACACATCCATTAGCTATACTGGATTATAAATGAAGTATTTGACCTCACGCTTCCAAATACATATGCATTTATGTGTGTATTATCCTTTCTCATAGTGCATATTTTCAAGAGAATAACAGTAATTGCATCCCAATAAGCCCACGATAAATTGAAAGTATCTTAAAGTCAAAACTCACAGTGGATTTATCTGGATCTAAGTCGAGATGCATACTGAATGTGTATCGTTTTTGCTCCATCAAAAAGTCAAAAAGTTCAAAATTGGGGACCATCTATATGTTTGGACTTTTAAATGAGATCACATCTCTATGAGCAAAATAAAAGATATGATCAATAACCCAAAAGTTTCCTGAAAACTGGCCACAATGGAGAAAACTAGCAAGGAGTTTTCTGAGGAGTGTAATTACACAAGACAGGCTTAAGGGGACACTTGCAGGCTGGGTGTGGTGGTTCATGCCTGTAATCCCAGAGCTTTGGGAGGCTGAGGTGAGAGGATCTTGAGGCCTAGAGTTTGAGACCAGCCTTGGCAACATAGCAAGACCTCACCTCTCCAAAAAACAATCAGCCAAGTTCGGTGGCACATGTCTATAGTCCAAGTTACTCAGGAGGCTGAGGGAGGTGGATCACTTGAGCCCAGGAGTTCAAGGCTGCAGTGAGCCATGATTGCACCACTGCACTCTACCCTGGGTGACAGAGATAAAACAAAAAACAAGATTCTTGCTTTCTGTTTCCTAAAAAAAAAAGGGCCATTAAAAAGAGCACCTTTTCCAGTTCTAATGCAAGAATGAAGAAAAACATTGGAAGGCAAAATGACTAGAAACGCAGTCAGTACAGCACCATTTTCCACCCTACGCCCAGTCAATGGCTCTCAAATTCCTTCCCTGCCACTCCCTGTGGGCAGGGGGTAGGGGGGCACCAAGAGAGGAGGTCATGGGATGACCTGAGGGTGTGCCCTTGGGTCGGAGGCCCTGCTGAAGAGAAAGGGGCAAGACTACCAATTTAGAGGGTAATTTAAAAGATAACGATAAAGGTAAGAGAGAAAAAGTGTTTCAAAAGAGATGCTGAATGGAGTTTTAAAAATATACATTCAGGTGAATACCTGGCTCATCCTTACCCAGGCACAAGCGGAAAGCAAGCTCGGGTCAAACTCCAGATAGAAGTTCTTCCAGGAATCCTTATCAAATCCACTGTCCACCAACCAGCTTCCTCCAAGGCACCAAGGCAGGCTTAGGGAGGGTGATGGAACCAAAGGGTTAAGGCCACATATTTAGTTTAGAGCTGAAAGGATCCTAGACCTTACCATATCCACGCGTGCACAAAATCCACTAGGAGGAGAAATTAGAAAGCCCACAGGAAAGTATTACAGACGTTTTTCCGGTTTTTGTGAAACCTGGTGAGCAATGCCACTCGTGTTTTTAAGTAAGGCTGACTGTCCACAACATTAAATATTCCACTTAAAATTCATTCATTCAAGTAAGCTAAATGGATTTAACGTTGTGGCAGTTGGTTAAAAAAAAGTCAAGATAAATTGCTACCTTCTGTGGCTGAGAAGATGTCAGATATTTCATCTTGAAGTAGACCGTTTACTTTTGTTTGATTCCAAATGTATCAAATGTAACCAAATGTATCCCAAGGAACACAGTAAATTTAAAACGTCTCTGGGAGACGTTCAGTGTGTGTAATTCACGTTATTTCTGTCATTACTGTGTTCTCTGTCCTCAAGCACAGTGCATGTTGCCTTATCCGGGCAGACGTTGTAGAAACATTTGTTGAAATGAATTCAACATTATTTCTTTTGCTACCGGAAGACTGAGTTCTGCCACATATTCCCACCTGGCCCTTCATTCCAAACAGTGGGGACGGGAACCCCAATTTCACATTCCAACTGAACGACAAGTTGGCGCACACATTACCGCATACATCCCAAGTTTTGTGCCAGGACCTGCCCCTGAGAAACGTCCATAATTCTGCTCCGTGAGCCACAGGGGTGTACCTGAAGTTGCCAACTCCCGAAGCAAACTGAAAATTCAGGCCCGTGTCGGTCCCAGGAGCGGTTTAAATTCCACAATCGTCTCCTCCCTATACCCGGGTGAGTGCGCTGCCGGCCGGCGGCACCTTCAGCGGCAGAGCAGCCCCGGCCTGCACCTCCACCAGCGCCGGCGCGACCTCGCGGTGGGGCGGGGGCGTCCCCGAGTCCCAGCGCCGCGCCCCAGGCCCGCCCTCGCGTCTGCGGCCTCGCCGCGCCCCGACCCCGAGCCCCAGCCCGCGGAGGTCCGAGAAGGGACCCGGCCGGGGCGCAGAGCCGCGGAAGCCCCGCGCCGCCGCCCAGGCCTCGCGGAGCCCCGGCCTCTCCCCGGCGAGCTGCGGGCAACAAAGGCGGCGGCCCGGGCCGGCGCGCCGCGGCCGAAGAGGCCGAGGGGTCGGGAAGAGCCGCCCGCGGCCGCGCAGGCCTCGGCCCTTCAGGGGCCGCCGCGCCCGGGCCCCGGCTCCCCGGCTCCCCGGTTCCCGCGTCCCCGCTCCCGGGCCTGGGCCCGGTCCCCGTTCCCTGTTCCCCGGCCCTGGCCCCCGCCCGCGCACCCGCCGAGACGGCGCAGGGCCTCGCGCTGCCCCAGACCCGCCGCTGCAGCCCCGCGCCTGGCGGCCTCCCCAGCCCGGCCCGCGCCAGATCCGCCCCCTGCGCCCCGAGGCGAAAACCAGCCCCGCGGCCGGTGCCCCGCACCGCGAACGAGCCGAAGGCGGACGGCGAAGCCCGGCCCCTGCCTCCCGCCCGGGCTACCCGGACGCTCACCCGGAGGCGGCCCGGCTCCGCTTCCTCGCCCAGCGCCGGCGCGACTGCCGCGCTCGCCTTCTCTCCGCAACTCCTCCTCCCGCCTCCTTCCTCCTCCTCCTCCTCCAGGAGGGGCGCGCAGCCGCGGCGCCTCGGCCGGAGCGGGGAGCGGGTGCGGAGGAGCCGAGCGGGCCGCCCCGCGCCCACTACTCCGGCCGGCGGCGCAGGCGGGGTGTCGGGGCGCGCGGGACTGAGGCCGGGGGCCGCGCGGGGTGGGGCGGAGGCCGGGCACTAAGTGGGGGTTGCAAGGGGTGGGGCGCCGGGCCGGGGTCGTGGGGCGGGCGGGGCGCAGATCCCGGATCCCTACCCCCCGCGCCCCTCCACTGGTGCCTGCAGGCGGGCGCTCCTCCCGCCCCCAGTGTCCCTGTCCTGGTTTTTCCTTTGGTGCCTTCCCTCTGGCGGGGGTGGCCCCGGCTAACGCGGAAAGGATAGTCTCCTTGACCCCCCGGCCCCGCGGATTTGGCGGCTGCTGTCCCTGTGCCCCTGCGGCCGGCGGCCGGACCCCTGCACTGCCCGGGTCCGCTGGGCTCGCGCAGGGACCCCGGCCTCGTCCCCGCAGAGAGGGGACCCCAGGACAGACGCGCGCGCACGCTGTGCAGAGCCACAAGTGGGGAAACCCTCCCCACATCTCGACTGAATTGTGAAAAACGCTTTTTAAAAAGACAAACTTATTCCTTTTTTCAAGCCATCTGCTTTTCCATTTAGTCGTTTTCAGGGAGATTTTGTACAAGTAATAGTTGTTTGTGCCGCCCAATTCCAAGGTACTGTGATATACAAGTTGCATGTTGGAAACATGACTAATTTCTTTTGAAACTGGCTGGACATACTACTAATGTATAGCGGTACCACAAAAACTTGATTTTTGTCCATAAGAATCAATAGGAAAATTTGTATTTCTCTTACGATGAAAAGTGGTTTAAAAATGAATATCATTAGTATTTCAATAAAGCTTGGGGGGAGATAAGTATTATTAAAATCTAACAAGAATTATTGTGGACTTTAAAAGTTGTGTTTCTTGAATAGTATAGACCTTTTTAAAAGAAAACTGAAAGTACAGAGAAAAAAGGGCTAGAAAAAAAATCTAAAAAGTTGTTCAGGTATGAGTTTGTACCCAAATTATATCTCAATAAAGTTGTTAGTTACAAAAAAGTTCAAGTACAGTAATCTTAATTCCTATGTCCAATATACAATCTAGATTTCCGCAAGAATAACAGTGAAGTTGTATCTTTAGGTGATGCGAAGTTGATGCCATTTGTTATGTATCATACACTGTCATCTTCAGTTTTTACTTTCAATTTATTAATAAAATACTACCATTACTGTTACCGTGATTGAAATGCAACACAATTCTCAAATATCTAATTACAGTGATTGGAGAATGTAGGTTGAAATAGAATTGTCAGAGAGGTTAGTGGGAAACACAACAAATAGTAATTAACAGTGGCTCATGCTTGTAATCCCAGCACTTTGGGAGGCCGAGGCGGGCAGATCACGAGATCAGGAGTTCGAGACCAGCCTGGCAAACACAGTGAAACCCCATCTCTACTAAAAATACAAAAAGTAGCTGGACGTGGTGGCAGCTGCCTGTAATCCCAGCTACTGGGGAGGCTGAAGCAGGAGAATCGTTTGAACCCGGGAGGCGGAGGTTGCAGTGAGCTGAAATCGCACCACTGCACTCCAGCCTGAGTGACAGAGCTAGATGCCATCTCAAAAAAAAAAAAGAAGGAAAGAAAGAAAGGAAGCAAATCCTACTGCCTTGGGGTGCCAGTGTCTCCTCATTTTTTCTAAAAAGGACAACTGGCAGGAGCTGTGCAGCAGGGGATTAGTGAGCCTTTCACACAGCAATGGGGCTGTGCAGGATGGGGAAGAGTTGACTCTTCCAGGAGACACTTAAATGTATGGTTAAGACCCTGGGGTTCTGAGTCTGGCAGAGCTGGACCAGAAGCACAGTTTTGTCACACAGCTGTGTGACCTCAAACAAGTTTCTCAGTTGTAACCTCAGTTTCTATTTTTGTAAAGGGAGGTGAGGGAGTTTGATATTTATTATGTCAAATAGTTGTAAGATTACATGAAATAATGCACAAAAACCACTAGGGGCCTAATCTAGGTAATAAAATTTTATGAGTCAGGCCTTGCATTCAGCTCTTTTGAATATGTTGTGGCCTTTAATTTTCGTATCAATCCTGTAAGGTCAGTATTAACATCATGCCCACATTACCGATGAGGAAACTGAGACTTGCAGTATGAAAGTAGTAATTTACTCTCCCAAAGTCACAGCTACTATGGGGCAGAGCTTAGAATTCAGGCTTAGGCCTCTGTGATTTCAGAATATGAGCCCTTTGCCACTAAATAGTGATAACAATAATATAGCAACAACTTCAGTGTAGAGATATTAGTGTCTAGATATACTATTAAAATCTCCGCTTGGCTGAATTCCAAACACTTCTTGGCCATAAACATGTGATATCTTCTTGGCTGTCCGCCACTGAACCCTTTTTTCCATCAGCCCTCACTCTCCCTTTGGAGGAAATCTTATCTTTGCCCTACCAACACCAGCACAGCTAAGATACATGCCAATGGCTCACCTACTTAAACTCTTGCCCAGGCCAGACAGAGAGGCTTACACCTGTAATCGCAGCACTTTGGGAGGCCAAGGTGTGGAGGTTCACTTGAGGCCAGGGATTCAAGACCAGCCTGGGCAACATGGCCTGATGTCAGCTCTACAAAAAATTAAAATATTAGCAGAGCATGGTGGTATGGAGGTGGGAGGATCGCTTAAGCCCAGGAGTTCCAGGTTGCAGTGAGCTATGAAGGTACCACTATACTCCAGCCTGGGCAATAGAGCAAGACTCTGTCTACAAAAAGAACCAGGCTGGGCGTGGTGGCTCACACCTGTAATCCCAGCAGTTTGGGAGGCCAAAGCTAGCTTGAGCCGGGGAATTTGAGACTAGCCTGGGCAACATGGCAAAACCCTGTCTCTACTTAAAATACAACAGTTAGCTGGGTGTGATGGCACATGCCTATAGTTCCAGCTGTTCAGGAAGCTGAGGCTGGAGGATTGCTTGAGCCCAGGAGGCAGAGGTTGCAGTGAGCCACTATCATGTCACTGCACTCCATTCTGAGCTACAGCGCGAAACTCTATCTCAATAAGTAAGCAAGAGAACGAGAGAAAGAGAGAGAGAAAGAAAGAAAGACCAACCTAAAAAGAAAAGAAAAGAAAAGAAAAAGAAACCAAAAAACTCTTGTCCAGATGCTTACTGTGGTGCAAGTGATATAATCATGGAAAGCTCCTAGAAGAGAATGGGATCACATCTACTGTAATAAGGTACCTGCACCAAATTGATCCTGGTGCCAGTCCCCAAAGCCTTCTAATAAATCCCTGTTTTGCTCAAATTAACCAATTTCTGTCGTTTACCATTACAAATGCTGTCCGATAGATATGCTTGTTAAAAAATGAGGATAGCCACCAGTCATATTGAAAATCTATCCTCTTAACAGTGACAGGGGAGCACAGTTCCACTGCTTCCTCCTAGAGCAATAGCCTATAGAGCCAGAAGCACCCGTACTGATCATCCTCAACATCCTCTTTTTTCAGACATGAAAACAATCCAACATCCTCATTTTAAGGAGGAGGAAACAGACTGAGAGATCAAATGATTTGCCCCAAGTGACAAAGTTGTGACATTTCCCAATTTTGAATCTTGTTTGATTTCTAATATTAAACCTCTTTCCTTCATCTAAAAGGGGAAAAAGAGAAGTCTAGACTTGAGAGAACTGGATGGAAGCAGGGTGGGTTACAGTGTGCAGCCTTCCATCCTAGTCCTGGTGATTCAAGTATGGTCATACCTCACTTAACGACAGTGCTATGTTCTGAGAAAAGTGTTGCTAGGTGATTTCTTGTGCTAACGTGATAGACTGTACTTACACAAACCTAGAGGTAGCCTACTACACACCTAGAATAGTAGGGCATAGCCTATTGCTTCTAGGCTTCAAACCTGTACTGCATGTTACTGTACTGAATTATGTAAGGCAATGGTAACCCAAAGGTATTTGTATATCTAAACATATTTAAACATAGAAAAGGTTCAGTAAAGATACAGCATTATAATCTTACCATGGGATCACAATCATGTATGCAGTTGACCAAAACACTATTCGGTGCATGACTGTACATTCTCAGTGCTGAAAGCACTCTTGGGGCCCTGTGAAAAGCTGCAAAGCAAGCAAAATTTGCCACCCTCCACTTCCTTCCCTCCTTCCCA